ATAAAACACTTGAGGATAGTTAGGAGATATTATATTCCTCCTTGTTCTTAATTTCCTTTCCTTTTCATAGGTAGTCCAAAAAATGCAATAATTGGGTTGTGTTTTAGAGAAATAAGAAAAAAAAAAAGACTCCTACATATATACATAAAATTCTACCTCTAAGATAATAATATTACTTTTGAGTTTATAGTATGTCTTTTGGCTACCTATAAAAAGTCCCTGATATTATTCTTTATTATGTCTATGTATATACTTGTACATAAGACCTTTACCCATATCCCATTCAGAAAGGCGATTCATTTAGCTAATCCCATTAAAAGACTGCAAAACAAGCCTCATATAAGGTAGACCACCTATATACTTCTTAGCTGAAATGGTAAAAATTTCCAGGGCTCTGATCTAATGTTCACAAGCACTGAGAGTTACTACATAGCAAATAGGAAAAATAATGAATAACATGTGCGGAAACTGCAGCCAGAATAATATCTGAAAAGCACACTGCACTGGTGCGCTCCTAGGCTGGAGCGCCAGGACCACCTTCTGTTTGTGAAGCCGCGGGGAAGACAACCAAAGCTTTGTGGTGTACAGCGGATACGCAATTCTTTTCTATAGGGCCTCATCTCTCAAAGAAGAAAAGCAACAGTGGAAAAGAAGAGACTCTTGGTACTTGGCAAGTTGAAAGTCTGAGATATTCTCAGCTATGGACATGGTTTCTGATAAACACTGTGAAGAATTAGTTTCCTGGATTAGTCTGGAAGTTGTGCAAATACAGAAGGCAGCATACAAAAGTCATAGTAGTAACCCTTATTAAAGGTGGAAACACCACAGTAGGAAGGAGTGTATTCTAGGGAAGTTTGAATGTGTAGTTAACGAAATTTAACATGGGCTGTTTCTTTTACCTGCAGTCAGCTGTCTTCCCCTTGTCAAGACCAAGGCCAATTCTCCCTTGTCCCAGAGGCCTGTTACAGCCCAGGCTGGTTGCTATATTCTGGAATGTACTGACAACTCAGTGAAAAAGCTCTATGTTACACTCACTTTGAATAACTTAAATTTTTTGTTTCACTTTATTGTCACTTCTATGTAGTAAGGATGACTTTTTTTTAATGCGTACTTAGAAAATAGTGCCAGTTGAGTATCCAGTATTTAAAATCCTTGAGGCCAGAAGAGTTTCAGACTTTGGATTTTTTTCAGATTTTTGGAAATGAATTATCTGGGGATGAGCCTCAAATCTAAACATGAAATTCATTTCAGTTTTACATGCACCATACACAAGCCACCTGAAGTTGCTTTTCTTGGTTTGTGTCTGTGGTTTTATGCAGTACTAGGTACTGAGCTGACAGGTCTCACAAATGTAATAGCAGCATTCTTCCACTGAGCTACATCCTCAGCCCTTTTGTTGCATTTTGAGACAGGTGCTCACTCAGCTGCCTCGTCTGACCTTGAGCTTGTGATCCTCTTCCCTCAACCTCCTCAGTGTCTGAGAATACCCAGTATTTTAGCAAGCCTGTGTTTTGACTCTGATGCATCACAGGACATGAAGTGTGGAACTTTCAACCTATGGCATCATGTAGGCATTCAAAACTTTCAGATCTTAGAACATCATGGGTTTTTTATTTTCTGATTAGGAATGCTCAAATTGAAGAATCTCTTCTTAACTGACTTTGGTATGACAAACCTGAACCCCCTAAATAGATTCCCTCTGAGACCTGCTGCCAGGTGCCCCCAGCACCTCTGCCCAAAGCCTGGCTTCTGTAGTGCATCCTTGCACCTTGGATTCCAGGAGTTATGTCGATGCTTTCCACCTGGCACTCATCCCATGCATGTTCATTCCTACAGTGCTTCTTAGAGTAATCACCATTCATTAAACATTCTAAAAGTCAATGATGTGTGTAGTGAAAGTTTTTGCTAGAAAAACCAGTTGTAGTGGTATGTTAGCTTTTTTTTTTTTTTTTTTTTTTTTTTTTTGGCAGAACCAGGGATTGAACTCTGGCCCTTGTGCTTGTCAGGCCATCACTTATTCTATTGAGCTATCTCTCTGACCCAGTATGTTAGCTCTTCTCAAGTATCTGAGAGTGTTACTTAAGGAAAGACTCTTTTGATTCACAGTGTCAGGGTTTTCAGTACATGGTCTGCTGGCTCCTTTGCGATGGTCTGTGGTGAGGCAGAGCCTCATGGTGGAAGGGCACAGAGGTGCCCCGCTGTTCTCTTATGTTAGCCAAGAAGCAAACAGAACAAAGAACATGATCTAGCAGCTCTTATCCCTACAGTTTGATTACATCCAAGCTCCCAGCCTGTGGTATGGTGGATGCCACCCACATTCAGGGTGGGTCTGCCCCCAGCAGTGTACTATCCCATATGCCCGCCTTCTCTGGGAACACCCTCAGATACACAACCCCCAGAAGTGTAATTGCCTAATTTCTGAGGTGTTTCTCAGCTCAATCAGGTTGACAGTCAAGATTAACCATTACAAATGGTCTAGAAAGATTGTGAGTTGCTAGAAAAATTTGCTGTTGAGATTTGCTGCATACGATAACGGGAAACTAGGGTGCAAAGAAATATTACATGCTAGGCTCCACTTTAGCGAAACAAACCATGTATTGTTCCCTATAAATCAAGTTTCTCCTATAAAAATAGGCAGAATTTCATCCAGCAAACTTCATACAGAATAAGGTTCTTTGTCCTTCATCACAAGTTTATACATTCGTATTTTGACTTAATGTTCTGTTTGTATATATTTTACTTTTGATAAACTCCTGTTTAAACCCAACATCATTGTCTAATAACCAGCTTTTATTGCAGATTCATCAGAAATGAAGACTTCCTCTATTTCTTGAATTTTCTTCTAAGCCAGGTGTTTACTTTCAGCTCGGTAGTGGCATCAGATCCCTTGAGAGTTGCATAGTGTACTGTGGGGGTGTCTCTCGCTATGTCATTTTTTTATTTAGCGGCATTGTTCTTGCTCAGGGCCATCCTAGTATTTGCTTTTTGTATCTCAGTTAGGTATCCACTTAGAATTGTGTGAAAATCCTCAGCTACTTTTAATTGGGGTTATTAAAGACTGAGCATCACCATGAAGAAAGTTTAGTCCAACTCTACAGATGAAGCCTTAAGTCACTACTATTAGCTCACCACACAGGTTCAGTTCATAAAGAAAATGCCACTGTGTCCTAGCTCCATGGGTTCTGTAGTGTGACTTCATAATGTATTTACACTATGAGCCTGTGAAAGGGAATTTGATAAATGTTTTCAAATGCTTTTCTCTTTTCCTGCACCTTTCCCATTTGCTTTCTAGAACATGTCTTGAGGAGCATTCTTGCTTGACATTTACTGAATGCTAGCTACGTCTGTGTTTAAAACATTGGCCCAAAGCCAGTGGACTTACCAATTTATATTAGCCTGTTAAGAAAAATTAAATAAAATGTAAAAATGAAATGAAAATTGCTTCAAAGAAAAATGGGGGCTAGCAGTGAAATAGCCCGTTAATAGCCTGGTGCTCACTCAGTCCCTTGCTGAGTTCACCGTTGTGTCATCTTGTACTATTGCCAGACTCTGAAAGGAAATCCAAAGAAAAAATTAAAAGTAATTGTTTCATACAGCAACCATTTATTGAGTACGTCCTCAGGATCAGACACTAAGAACACAAAGAGGAGCCTTGCTTGCTCCACAAGCGACTCACAGGTTCAGGCAGTGTTTCTCCCACTTGAATAAAAGGTAGAGCTGCTCTGGCTTCTTCTGTTGGCACAGAGGCCAGGGCCTTCTGAAAGCACAGAAAGTGCAGAGTGTGTGCTTCTAGGAATTTTTCCTGCGTAAATAATAAGGAAAGCCATGCAAAGATGCATCAATTCTTTTAGAGTCATGATCATCCTTTAAAATTAGAATAATAAACGTTTTGCCACATTTCAATAGCTGTTTATTAGACACCTGTGACACTTAACATTGATAAAGAATTTAACACTGAGATAACTTTTCTGCCAGAAACATTGTATATGTCAGTTGTTGCTTACTGTATAACTGCTGTCTTAATAGTTGAACTTATTCATTGTGTAATCTTCCTGTCTTTATAATTTCCAATACAACATGGACAGTATATTACTTGCATTGATGTGTTCTGTCTCAGAACTCTTCTGTCATTGTTTTGGAATTTATTTCTTAAGTTACCTTTAAAAGCCTGTGAAAATTATTCCATAGTTAATGGCCAACTGTGATTTTTAGTGTTGATGCTGACGTCTTCTATTCCTCACCTACATTCATATAAAAAATTTTTGATGGCTACATGAGTATTAGCCAGTGGCTTAGAAGAAAGTGCAGCACTGTGGTTTAGACTGACCTTGGTGACTGAGAACAGGTTGAAAGGTTAGGCAACTTTCTGTCATTAATTTTTAAAAAGTTTTAAGTTTTATTAAGCATATGCTACATTTTCTAAGAGCAGCTTTCTTTCAGGAGTTCAAAAGTTTTAGTTCCTAGGCACTGTGTAGGAGGCTACTGTTTAGGGGGATACCAGAGATCAAACTCAGGACTTGTACTTACCAGGCAGGTTCTCATACCACTGAGCTATATCCCCGGCCCAGCATTATGCAGGACTTAGGTAGTATTTTGACTACTTTGCAGGAGATTTATGCTCTCTGTATTCACAAGCGAAGAATTATTTGATGTTATTTTTTGAGAAGTAGTGAAATCTATGACCACAGATGTAATTTATTAACAAATTGATGTGAATCAAACATTCTAGTAAGCTAGATTAAAAAACAAAACAAAACACAGTATTATATCTTTTAACCACTAGCTAGAGATTTGCTTTAAGGCTTTATCTCCCTTAAAATGACAACCAGGTAGATAGAACTAAGCATTTTTAAACTTGAAACTATCATAATTTGTTCTTCATTCATTTGAAACAAACTACTTACATGCATCTTTTCTCTTTCGTTCTTCAAAGGAACAGCATTTCAAAATTTCTTTCTTCAGATGCCAGAGGTAACTGATAATCTGTTCTAATTTTTAAGGGTTTCTCCTCTACAAAAGTCTGAAGTTGTTGAGATGGTTAAGAAGCAAGTCAAAGTCATAACGCTTGCCATTGGCGATGGAGCCAATGACGTCAGCATGATCCAGACGGCCCACGTGGGTGTTGGCATAAGCGGCAATGAAGGCTTGCAGGCCGCCAATTCTTCTGATTATTCCATAGCTCAGGTAAAGCATCACGGCTGCAAGGCCTCCTCTGGTTCCTTTCCATCGGCCAGCACTGTGAAGAGGAGAATATTAATTTTTTTCCACTCTTCTTTTAGTTCAAGTATTTAAAGAATTTATTGATGGTTCATGGTGCCTGGAACTACAACAGAGTCTCAAAGTGCATCCTGTACTGCTTCTACAAGAACATAGTGCTTTATATTATTGAGGTAACAAACTAAGTTTAAAATCTTTGTCAATTGCATACATACTTAAAGAAAATTTTCATGATGATATTGTCTCATTGTTTGCTTTAATACTTCATATACTCAATTTTTAGAACTTCTAAACATGTTAAAGCAAAAAGTTGTCAGCCACAGAGAATAATGTTTAAATTCTGGCTAAAAATGTTGTATTGTTTTGGTAGAAATGTGAGAATTGCTAATGAGGTGAGTTTTTCATTTTTAAAAAACTGAAAACTGTACAAAGCTCAAAAACATAAAGAAAATAATACACTGTTGAAGGATGATAGACATGGAAGTCTGTATTTAAAAAGAAAAGTAATGATCCCCAGCAACACAAAAGCAAAAAGTACGCAAGTCAAAATGAAGAGGAAAGAAGAAAAGTGAACGGATGACAAACAAAACCAAGGATGAGTGCCCTCATTCTGGGGGAGACAAAGGAGCAGAACCGGAAGAGGGCATAGCACCTTTGCTAGAATTAGTTGTCTGGTAGTTTCTGTGTTTCCCAACCTAGATCTCTGTTGCTTACAGGTATCCCTTGCTATTCAGAACTGTTTTGACTTTCATTTCAGAAAGAAACAAGGATTTAGATGATAAGGAATTTGCCTAGAAATTATTATTATTCCTGTGCCTAGGATGTGATTTCTATGATTTTACTCATGGGTTAAATATAGCATCATTTTTAAAACTCAAACCAGGTTAGGAGCACCACTTAAAAATGATGTGTTTTAGCACCTGCTTAAGCAGAAAGCAGTGGCCAAGAGTTCAAGCCTCAGTGTGCCATGCCAGCCCTGTCCCTGGGGTGCGCTGAGACAGCAATTGAGACTGAGTGTGGTGGTGCACACCTGTAATCCCAGTGCTTGGGAGGCTGAAAACAGGAGAATCACTATGAGACCAATCTCCATAGTGAGACCCTTGTAGACCCTGTCAACCCTGTCGACCCTGTCCTAAATACCTAAAACAAAGGATGTGCTTTGTTCTGCAAGTGTTTTTGCAGCTCCTAATAGATGCCCGGCACCAGGATGAGTGTAGCAGCTATGAAGTAAATCAAGCACAATTCCTGTACTCCAGGAGCTTGCCAACTACAGAATACATGTATAATATTCAGTTTCCTAGAAGCCACAGTAGCAAAACTAACGCTAAAATTAAAAGCTGGCTTGATTATGAATTCCCTATTTTATTAAATTAGAATGTTCAGAACATCATTTTCAACATGTACTGGTTATAAGAATGATTATTTTTTATATTCTTCACTCTGAGTGTTCAGAACCTGATGTCCTCTTGACATCTGCGGCACATCCTGGACCAGGGGCAGGCGGTCTGAGCCCTGCATAGCCAGTGGCCACCACGCTGGCCAGCACAACACTAGAGAACTGAATGTGACCACTCAGTGGGCCTTTTGGTAACACTGAGCCATCAAAATTTGATCAGCAGTGTCTATTATTTGTAATAATGAAGCTAGAGATGTTATAGTTTTATGTTCCTCTTGTATCTTGGCTGAGCGGGGCAAGAAGCTCTAGCAGCTTGTCAAGAGAATGCTCCATCTTCCTGTCCTGCAGGGACCCACCCACACCCTCACAGATCTGCCGAGGCCTCCCTTACGCGCGTTTGCCTGCTCCACTTCGCCCTGCCTTCTGCTCACTGTTTCTACACATCCATCAGAAAAGCCCTGATCAGCCATTTGCTGTATGGAAATAGGATCCCATATTTTAGACCACGGAGGGAGCTCTGTAAACAAATAGCTTAGTAGACCGCACAGGTTCCATGCTCACTAGGGAGTCCTGTGAGTGCGCCTGAGCTAGTCTTTGTTCCTCTCTCAGATTGCCGATCTCATTAAAGTGTTGGCTAAGCATAATTCCTCATTTACACAGAAACATAAAAAAGACACTTCATGAACTTATAGTTCATTGCCAATATATTTGACGTGAGAAAAAAAATCTGTTTGAAAGGAAAAATACACTTCCAAAATAGTTTAGATTTTAAAAATTCTGTTTTATATATAAATTTGTGATATTTTCCAAAATAATTACTTTTCATTGCCATCCTCTATCTGACTTTTCTAAGATATGTTCTTCTCATCCCAGAGCACATTCCCAACAATAACATACTGTTTATTTAAGAAACGTTTGAAAATTTGTAAGCCAGGAGTTTAAAGGCACTGTCACCAATAAATGTACTTATAAAATTTTAAAATGGTGTAAGTCTAGAGTCTAAATCTAGATTGACAAGTGCTTTTTTAAAAAAGATTAATCATTAGCAATGAAGTGAGCAAAATTTTTGTGCTGATGAGGAGAATAAAATATATTAAACTCAATGAAAAATAAGCATGCACACACTATTTCAAACCTAGAACTGTGGTCCTGGTGGGTAGGTTTGCCCTCAGTTTCACATGGCTTTTAATTTCAAGCCTCTTCATGAGATTATTTACCATCGATTGCATTCTTTACTTATTGCAAAGGAAGTGAATTCTAAACCTTACTGGAATTTTTTCATTTTTTATTTTTCTTTTAGCACTTTATGGAACTGTATATGGAATATAATTCCACTGTCTTGGAAATGAATTGACCTTTTCAATCAATTCCCAGATATCTAACTTTTGCCAGCTAAAACAAGTTCTGCAGATGTTAATGGCTCATGTCAATACCGTGAATGAATAGACAGAAAACACATCGCTGACTGTCTCTAGCGGGGACAACTGCCAGTCTGCAGTCTGTCCTTTCAGGTTTTTGTGCTGACCAAGCGTGGGAGCAGAGAACTCATTGACTATTTGTAAGCTGCTGTTTAATATGCAGAAATGCTCCATCAGGAAACGGGTCTGTGAAGCTTTAGCTGCCACGCCTCTGCAGGGAGGAGGAATTTAGGAAATAATGCCAGGAGCAGCGGGGCTCAAGTTTCTTTACTAATAAAGAAATAGTGTTGAACACCGTGGGTGTTATAGATTATCTGCAAACCTGCTTTCCCATCATGGTATTGCCAGGAATATCACTGTCCAGCCCCTGCATTGCCATACACTGCAGGCCCACAAATAAATACAGACTTAGCAGGCCAAGCAGGTGGGGTGTGACGGTCTTATAGAAGCTGCCTGGAGCAGCTCTAGGTGTTTGTTTAAAATATTGGCTCTTTCTAAAAAGATTCTTTTATTTCTCTGAAACATCTGATTACTCCCTAGCAAAACAAGACCTTTTCTTTCAAATGGTTGCACCCAAGACTCCCAAACAATGTCATGGTTCTAACTTCCAGAAGCTTTAAGTCAATAAAGTAATACAGTCCCAGGAAATTATTCTAGATGGAGTTTCTGTGAATTTAAATAATCTGTACACTTCCCTAGCAGGCCCGGTATTTTCTTTATCCAGGCTTTGAATCAAAGGAGGGACTTTTATGTGCTTATACTCAGTTAGGTGTTATCTTACTTAGCAAGGGATATGTTCCTAACATGTTTCTAATTTAATCACAAATCTCAAACTGACCAGAAATCAACCCTCTGGTGAACTACTTCACTCCTAAAGATCCTTTTTGTTTCTCCTTTAAAAGGAGTAAATTTGAATACTAAACTATTTGTATGAAGGTATAGGGCTGTGTATTGAAAATTTGTCTCTAGTCATTTCTTTCTCATTAAAAAACAAACAAACAAACAAAGAAATTAGGGCTGGAGAGATAGCTCAGCACCTGCCGGAGAAACAGAGCTCCTGAGTTCAATACCCAGTACCAAAAAAAGAAATTAAAATACAAAATTTTAAAATGCAGAAAGTAAACGTCAAGGAACACATTCACCTGCCTTTCAGTGAGGTAGGATGTGTTAGCTTGCCACTTAAAATTTTTCCAACATAAAACAGCTAATTTATGCACTTTAAAACACACTTTAGTTCATACATGTTTATTTGCCATTTATTTTGATTTTGAAAGTTTCTGTATGTATCTGTTGATTTAAGGTAAGGGCTTAAATTTAAAATACCTTTGAATCTGCACCAAATGTTATATATGGTCCAGGCTGGGGTCATAACTCAGTGGTAGAGTATTTGTCTACCTGTGTGAGGCCCCAAATTCGATTCTCGGAACTGAAAACAACACAGAAATGAAAACAAACCAGATGTTTTATATATAATGAAGCTAAGAGACTGTTCTCACTTGCAAATACTTACCCATACACAATTTTTATCATTAATGTGTTTGTAACACATACTAAGCATGTTTATCAAGGGACGCCAATATTTACACGTATCACATCTTGATCCTCTTTATTTCTCCTTGCACACAGATTTATTAACATAAACTTACACAATCTGGGTGACCGCAAATGCACTGAGGACCATCATCTTTGAGCCAGATCCTGTCCATTAAGTAAATTTGATAAGCAGAGCACTTCAGCTCTCGCCAGACCCACAAAGGTTAGACTGGATTTTTGTAGCCTAGAAAGACCATAATTCAAAAATTGTGTCTCAAAATTCCATAAATTTTCATCATACTCAAGAAAGCACCTCTGAAAGAGGAGTTGCCATTAGGAAAATATAGCCATTACCTGCAGTATCACAAATATGTGTTTGCATACTTACCCACATCTTAAAAGGTCTGATAACTCAAGCACACAGATGCAAAAACATGATGAAGTCCGTTTTATCGTGTGTATACTCACAAGGAAAAGGCAGGCTTAATTCTAATGAAAGCAAAAAATTCTACATGCACAAATGATCTGACTCCTTGTTTAGAACAAACAGGCAAATTTTCTCTTAAAACATTCAGCAAACCAAGTAAGAATTTGCGATTTAACTCAGATTTCTGTGTTTTGTTACACTTAATGTGTGTTACAACCCTAACACAACTTGGGCTTATTTTTCATATGTTATCACTGCTTTGTTTTCTTTTCCATCTCATGAAGCAGACATTCGCCTTTATACGTGTTCAATCATTCCCTTCCACTATAAAAAGGAGTAGGATCAGTGTGGTGCAGGACCTGTTCATGGAGGAGCCAGCCTGGGTACATATTGATAAATGGTGAATTTGTAACAATTCATGCTTCCATAATGAGGTTAAATGAAACGTGAAGTGTAGCAAAGTCTCTTCCACTCTGATTCAAAAATTCACTCCAGCCACATGTCAAGCCTGCTTTCCTCTAACAGTTTCGTTGTTATTATGCTGTGTTTTGTGTTTGCATTTATGTAATCTTATGGCTGTACCAGCCTTTTCCTCTTCCAGGTCAACTTCATTTTTAATTATACAGTAGGTCTACTTAAAAACAATAAGATGGATATTATTGACTAGTTACCACTTTTAATTGTTTTAAACATGTTGGAGAAAAACTTCTCTATACTATTCCTTAATTTTGTTTCTGAAGTTAAGGTTTCTATTTTGAAGAAAATTGTAAAACATATAAGAGTATTATGCTCTTAGAATGGTTTACCATTTTTCATGTATGATTTCATATTTATTGTGATAACAATAATTATCAAGAAGTGTTAAAAAATCATAACATTGACTCTGTAATTCCACATTAAGAACTCTTCCTAAGGGAAAACAGATGTGTGGAGTTGTAGTTTAGAACCATTTTTAAAAGCAAAACTAAGCAAGCTAACACCCTAGAATAGTTACGTCAAACCTGTAGATGTTACCAACATCTTAGGAGCTATGTAACATCTTAAAGGATGTGTAATAACTGAAGAAAATATGCGTTTTGTATTGTGGAGGAGAAAGAATAGGTGTGACACACTCTATAGTAGGTTTCAGGAAAATTTGTGACTGCATTTAACAAACAATGTGAATACAACTAAAACAGGAGAAATTAATGATTCCGAGTTATTTTCTAAATTAACAGGTGCTACTTCTACAATATAAAAAATATCCTGACAGATATTTTAAAAAGGAATTAAAGCTATAAAAATTCAATGCCAAGTAAATATATTCACTTCTAGAAACAAGATTTACCCAATTTTTAAATCAATCATTTTTCTTAGTCATATATTTCTTTTTTAATGAACTTTTTTAATTTGCTTAATTAACAAGTAGGACCACTTCTGACTTAAATAGCAAACACCTCATGAAAGCATCCCTTTAAATTCAAGAAAGTAAAAAAATAAAAATGCCATTTTCAAGAGCGTACTGAAAATGACATGTTGTTGCATTCGTTAAGTATAAAATAGATTCTGACCAATGCATTGTTATTTGCTTCTAATTTAAGGGTTGGGATTTATTTTTCCTAGATCTGGTTTGCCTTTGTTAATGGCTTTTCTGGACAGATCCTCTTTGAAAGATGGTGCATAGGTCTCTATAATGTGGTAAGTTTAACATGACTGATAATTCCTGTTTTATTTTAATACTCTGGCATGAAGATTTACCCCAAATTTGCTATTTGGCGTAATGATCAGTTTATCACTTTAGATGTTTACAGCAATGCCTCCCTTAACTCTTGGAATATTTGAGAGATCATGCAGAAAAGAGAATATGTTGAAGTACCCCGAATTGTACAAAACATCTCAGAGCGCTCTGGACTTCAACACCAAGGTAGGAGCTCGTCCTGGGTGTGTGCTCAGTGGGGCTGCTTTCTTGCTTGACTCTACACAGAGGGACGCTGGCTTAAAAACAGCTCCAGTGTGTCCACTGTGGCAAGTCCTAACTCCAAAGGTTCTGACAGAGGCAGAGAAGCTTTCCTTCTAGTTTGGTTTGGCTTTATTGTGTTGCGAAATTAAAATGAAACTGCTCAGTACTGAGCCTCACAGGCACCAGAAAGCTGGTTAGCAGACAGAAGTTGTCCTGTTGGTCCTGTGGCTTTCTGTGTGCAGCACAGTGGAGTCCTCCGGGACTGACAGCGGGTGACTCGGGGGGGGGGGGGGCGCTTCCGTGTCACTCTTGTCTAACTTCCTGTTGTGAAATAACTCTGCCATCATTAGAATTTTAGGTTTGTTGTAAAATATTTACAATCACACTTAAAGTTTCTAATCTGCATCACAAGTCATAGGCTTCTGTCATCTCTTGTGACTCTTGTAACTTATTCTTTCCAAAAAGAAAAACAAACAAAAATATCTCTTTTTATGCATGGCTTACTGTACTGCAAGTATATATTCTAAAATGTTTCCTCAATTATTTATTAATTCAGGTTTCTGTTTAAAGTGAGTATAGGTGTAATTGTAGCAATCAAAGTCGATGTCATTTGGAATTTCTAACTAACATCTGCGCATTTTATTAGTGTTATAAAAGCCACAGTTATAGTTCTCTCACAGATTTGTTGCATTTAGGATTGTGCACGTTCATTAGCATTTTCTGATAATTAGAAATAACTTTAATTCAGCATATTGAACTTAGGAGATTAATGTACTCTATTTTAATATTTCTTAATTCAAGAAGCGCTTGGATGCTATTCTCGGTACCCAGAACTTAAAGTGAAACAGGTGTCTTGGTGTCTCTAAACTCCCCACCATAAATGATAGTGTTAAGTTTATAGCTCAGAGGTTTTATTCTGAGACTCAACATTGCTCAGTACCCGCGCGTGGAAGTCCAGCTTCACAGTGCACGCAGCTTGATGGCTTTGTTTCAGATAAGTACACTTGGTTAGTTAAAATAATAACACCCTGAAGCATTCTTTAACTGTAGCACTAGCTGTGAAAAATCTTTCTGGGGGTTTCTTTTAAAACTGTTGCCATTTATAATATGTAATACCTAAAATTAATTTTTAATGTTTTACTTTTGAATTTCAAAAATGTAGCTGTCCTGCCTAACTTGTATTACCTTCTACCACATTGCTATACTGCTTTTCATAACCCAAGGTGGGCATTTTTAAAGGATGGAAAGCTGCAGTTGGACAGATACAGTGGACAGGAGCCCTCCTTTCTCTGAAAAAGTGATCTGAGAGTTAGGCAGGTCCCAGGCCTCCAGGTACACGGAGTCATTCTTGTAGTCTGGCAGTTGCATCCACCTGAGCAGCAGGTCCCTGGCTGCCACAGTGCGGCTCAGTGGTCTTGTCTCAGGAGCTGGCATCTCAGCTACAAACTTGGCTGTGACACTCTTACTTAAAAACAGAAGTCGCTTCTCATGATGAGCCAGACGTAGGCCTGGAGAGCTGTGCATTTTACATTCTTTGTACAACACAGTCGATATGGCCAGGGGAAAGTATGCAGTAGATTTAATGTAGTCCCATTGTTTTTTCTGCGTATTTCACTGTAGCAAAAGTATTTCATTATCTGTCAAGCATAGGCATTTTAGAGAACTCACCAGAGCAACTCAAGTAGGTCAGGCAACTTCATATATACTTGAATACTTACAAGTTGCCAGCCATTTATAAGGGTGAATTTTTCTAATGATCTCAGTGAAAATGTAAGTCCCTTGTACAAATGGCTACAAAATGCATAGCTGAATACATACGGCTGCTGTGGGTCCCCAGTGTAGCTGCATTGTTGCCTTGAATGATGACGCGGACATTTGTTATGGTAAAAAGGGTCGGAGGTTCTGGGGTCGTGACAGGGGTTAAAGGATTAGCATGTGACAATAAGTATCAGTCAGGAAAATGGAAAAGTAGAACTAATTTTTCTTGCACCCACCTGTGCTTTCTGTCAAATAAAACCGTGTGGTAATGACATAGCGAGGAGAAGCGACAAAGGTTAATGAGTAACACAAGTTCAAATGTGTAATGTATTGGAGCGTAAATTGGATCATGCAACCCGGGCTGGATGACGGAACTAACAAAGGAGATTGAGATCACGGTGGAAAATTTTGGGAGGCAGGCAACTTAATTTCTGTTATTTGAACAGCTTAAAACTATTATTCAGTTATGAATTTAGCATAAGTTTTGTTTGCAAGAAGCACTTTTAAATGCCAAAACTACCACTGTTCAGAGGGCCTTAAGAATTCCAGACAGTTTTTCTATAACTTAATCTTTACTGTTTATCTGAGCAACAGATTTGAGGATAAAAACAAGTACTATAACCGCCATTGTTAATTTGCTATTCTTGTCTTGAAAATCGGTACCATATGTATTGTGTTACTCTGCTTCTGTTTTTGTTTTTGCTATTTGTCTTTGATTTTGTTTTTGTTTTTACTCTTAAAATAAAACAAAATTAGAAAACAAAAAAATGCCAGGGAGTTGCTCACTTGTTCATAAAAGACAGCAGATGGATAAAAGCAAAATGATGCTAAATGATGTTTTAATTATATGAAACTTGGTATTGACAGATGTTTAAAAATTTGTGGAAAATATTTAATAAATTCAACCAATACTTTAATGATTATTCAATTGAAATGTAATACATCTTAGTTTTAATATAGTGTGTGTATGTATATTTATATAGCAAGAAGGAGAAAAGGCATTACACCTTGTTAACCATTAAAAAGTTCACACTTGCATTGTACTGGAGAAGGAGAAAGGTATTTCTCCAAATTACAATCTCTTTAAAAGTCTGGGCTGAAATTATGAAAAGTGCCCCACAAAATCTGTATTTATTGTTATTACTTTTCTTTTCTTTTTTTGGGAGAAAATTAAAAATTTTGATTTTCGGATTTTTTAAAAGTTGGGAAAATTTCAAATGAAGCTAAAAACACATTTTGAGAAACATAAAAATAAATAAATGACCCATGAAAGCCTGAGAGGCAGAAAGTGTCTGTCAGTTCTGTTAATTCACAGCAGTGGCCCGACAGAAACACATTTTGTGAATCTAGCTCGTAGATAAAAAGAAAGGTCAGGGTTCACGGAGCTGGTTTATCGCAAATGGTTCTCATGGATTTTTGTTTTCCCTCAGGTTTTCTGGGTTCATTGTTTAAATGGCCTCTTCCACTCGGTTATTCTGTTTTGGTTTCCACTGAAAGCCCTTCAGTATGGTAAGTAGGAAGGATGTGAATGCTAAGAGATGACTTTTTACTTTTTGCAAAATGTAACTCCTTGTCACTATGTATTTAAAAAAAAAAATTATAGCTGTGCTTCATCTTATGGTATTTTCCTCAACCCAAAAAGCACACATCTAAAAAAGTACACACTTTAAAGAATTTTATTATTCCTTTGGGAGCCAAGTGATTTAATATATGCAAGTCTTTCTTCTTCACTTCCAATGTTTTCCAAACTTGCATGGAGTTAAATTTTAGGGCTTTTATCTTCTGTTGCCATGTAGTTTGAAGACAATGGTGCTCACACTTTATGCGGTCTATTTATTACACCTGCGAGGGTCGTAGCACACACTTAGGCTGCACCTAATCGCGCACGTGCTGGTATTTTCAAGTCGGCTTGAGATGGTGTTGTAGATGCAGTTTTTAAAATGTTTTTATGTTTGGCTTGGAGTACAAGCATTGTCTCTGCTCATTTTCAAGGGAGGGATTTTATTGTCCATTTTGAGAGGTAGGGCCGTAGTGTATTTCCTGTGCGCATAAAAATGATTAAACAGCCATTCAGGAAGGCTCCCCAGGAGGCAGAAGCAGTGCTTCTGCTTCTGGCAGCAGACCTGGCCCCTGCCATCCTGGGGAAGGCGCCCCTGTGGTGCTCGTGCTCCACAACCGCAGTGACCACAGACAGGATGCACACTCCCCCGCAGGCGCTGTCAGGCCTTGTGCTGTGTGGTGTGTGATTTCGTGGTGACCAGCGCAAGAACACACTGCCTGTTCTTGCACCTACAGCCCATCCTACATAGCTGGCCACATGGCCCTTGCAAATCAGAAAGCAGACCACGCCCCTGCCTGGAAATTGCGCTACAGTGGGTCGCCAGGAGCATGAGAGAAAGGAAGGAGGTGTGCAGCCCCCCAAAACTGCGATCTGCTTTCTCTATCAGTTGCTCAGTGAATTATAGCAGTAAACAGTCTGAGTTTCTAGACCATGGGAGTATGTTTGTTAGTTTAGGGATATGACTCATATACCATAAAAGTCACCATTCGTTTTAGTATACTCACAGAAGTATGCAAATGTCACCATCATCTAATGGCAGGATATTTTCATCACCCCATAAAAAACCGCATAGCCATTGGTGTGCTTTCTGTTTCTCCCTGTCTTTTCTGAAGTCCCTGGAAATCACTAATTTTTCTGACTCCATAAAGGGGCCTATTCTGGACGTTCATATGAGTGGAATTATATACATACATTGCCCTCTCCATGTTGTGCATGAGTCAGTACTTCATTACTTTTTATGGCTGAATAATAGTTCATTCTGTAGCTATACTATTGCTGTCTGTATCTGTTAGTCAGTTGGTGGGCATTGGTTTATTTCCGCTTTTGGACCAATGAAGTCCAGGGTACAGTTTGGGATGCCCTAACCTTAAGCAAGTTATCCAGGACATGTTAGCATTCAGTCGGTACACACATGAAAGATAAGACATGTCCAATCTATTAAACTACTATTTCAACATTCTAAACTAGAAGGACATTTAATATCCAAAGTTGTTTATTCCAAGTAACATATAATGAATCTTAGCAATGACGGGGTGGAAAGGAATTCCCAAGTCATCCTATTTTCTGGAGCGTAAATTCCAGATCACCCAGTGAGTTTTTCTAGGAAATAGCCTGGACCATCCAGCTGTGGCCCAAGCCATTCCAATCTGGAGGATGCTTACTTTTTGTCCTCAAGGGATGAATGACATCTAGCATGAACCTTTTTTTACCATAGAAAGGTTTTTTGTTGTTTTTTGCAGTACAGGGAATTGAACTTTGGACCTTGTTCTTGCCAGGCAGGCACTTATGCCCTGAGCTATCTCCCTGTAAGAAAAGTTTTAATCATTATTTTTCCTTGCTTGTCACTTTTAAGTAAGGAGAAGTTTGTGGGATTGTTTTGTTCATTAGTTTTGTTTTTTTTTAAGGAAGTAGAAAAAGAGAAATATAAATATACAGTATACTACAAATCCATTTGTTCCCCAGCCTCAGGAGTCCTTAAAGATCGGTACGCTGAACCTCAGGGACATCCAACACCTTAATGTCAGCACGCACTGATGATGCAAAGGCAGTGGTGGATAAGCTGGTGATGCCTTAGCACAAAACACTGATAGACCTGTCCTAGAAGTTACTGTATTCCTTTCCTGCATGCACCCAGTGTGACTTCACAGTGTCCTGGAAGAAAGCATTAGCAATACTTTTATTACATTTTGACCCTTAGTTTACATTTTATTTTTTTAACACAGGGTTTCACTATGCAATTCAGACTGTCCTTAAACTCACTTTGGTAGCCCACGCTGGCCTCGAACGTGCAGTCATACTCCTGCCTCGTCCTCCTAAGTGTTGGAATTAGAGTCGTATACCACTATGCTTGGCCTCTAAGTAATAATATTCTGTTTGACAAAATAAGAAGGACAGGGCCAGCCAGATAGCTCAGCAGACTAAAGCACCTGCTTAGGCAGACGCAGCGGCCAGGGTTCGATCCCTGGTGTGCTGTGCCGGCCCTGCCCCTGGGTTGCACCAAAACAGCAATTGAGACTGGGCATCGTGGCATGCGCCTATAACCCCAATGCTTGGGAGGCTGTAAACAGGAGGATCACTACAAGTCCAGTCTACATAGTGAGACCCTGTAGACCGTATACTAAATACAAAAATAAAGTAAATGGAAAAGCAATGAGAATACCTCACCATGGTGGAGTAGTGTCCATGTGTCTTTCCAGGAGTGAGCAAAGCCAGCTACCAAGCTTTGCATGGATAAAAATCCATGCAGAGTAAAAGGATAAGTTATAGTACAAAAAGCTCACTGATGTCATTTTAGATTCTATACCAGTAAATAATCTTTAAAGTAATCTCCCCCTCCCAAGCCCCCCAGCTCTTTAAAAAAAAACTACATATAGAGTTTTGAGGTAGTTATCAGAGAAGATCCACAATTAGTGGAAATGGTTATTAAAATACTCCACTGCTCTATTACTCCTTTGTATCTCCACAGTGCTGGATTTCTGCATTTTAATCAAAACAACATACGAGAATCCAGCTGTCTTCTATTACGCTAGACATTAAAGAGAAGAAAAATGTGAAATGATGCCAGTTTTCTCACTAAATTTTTTTTGTTTGGGGTAATAGCCATTTTTCATAAAAATCTGTTTATATTACTATGTATTTGGTTTACTACTGTTATTTTTAGATAAAATAAGACGTATTTTAATGTTGTTTTAATTTCTAATTTGGTAACTGTTGATAACTATAAACCACATAACCATAATCTTCTCAGTATCTTCTGTATTTTTTTTTTAAGTGAAAGAGGGTACAGAGACCAGAAAGTAGGGGAAGTGGTTTACCTTCATTCACACGCAGACCTGCCTTGCAGACACATGTGGCCTCCTCTGACCCTTGGGTGCCCTCTCCTTAAGGATCCCATTCTGTCCTTTCAGCAAAGGAACTGAGCTCCCTGGAGGTTGAGTCAGTAAGCGGAGAAAGCACAGTTAGCGGAAGACCTTAGCCCCACTTCGACACACACCAGCTCCCCTCTCCCAGTAGCCTTCCGTGCTTTACTCAGCGTATTCTGCTCTTCATGCTAGACTTTAAATAAATATTGTTGAATCTATACACAAATAGAACACTGTGTTATATATACCATGGTCCTTAGGGTTTTCAGTGGTGCAGACTTAGTTTTTCTCTTTGATGTTTTCATCAATAATAATTGTTTTTTTCTGCTAGCTACCACTTCCTTCATCCAACGCCACATTTCTTAGTCATTGCTGGATTTAAAAAATGCTTTAAAATATGCCCCTAAATTCAGCCAGAGTCTCATAGACCTGTCAGTTGCTATCCTGGATCCTTTTGGGTCTATGCCAGCAGCTCCCGGAGAGACAGCAAGGTTTCCACAGGCCTCACCCGCACCGAAAGCAGCAAGCCTTATTGGGTACAGAGCCCCTCCACAGATATTTCCTGCCCGTGGCTCCAAGCTTTCCTTGAGTGATTGCTGTTATTGATTTTATTTATCTGTACCTGTGGGTTCTGAGGATCCGCTGCAAGTCAGTTTCCTTCCTCACACCGGCTGTCTTCTTGGCACACAGGTACTGTGTTTGGAAATGGGAAAACCTCTGACTACCTGCTGCTGGGCAACTTCGTCTACACGGTGAGTGTTGCACGGTCTCTTGCTCATCTGAGTGAAAAACCAAGCGCTCGCATCTGCACTCATTTTATGTTCAAATTTAAATGTGTGCACTTCTGGTATAAATGTCATTGTCCTTAAAAATGAGTAAGATATTTTGGCTGTTAAGAAATTATCGATAGAGTTCTACAGTGTCAGATTCAGTGATCTTAAAGGACTTGTTTTGTTTTGTTTTGAGTATTCTTTCTTTCTTACTGCTCTGTTTTCCCTGCTTTTTCCTCCTTTTTTCCTTCTCTTCCAATTTACCCTACTGTTGCTGCTTTTTTGGCGGAACCAGGGATTGAACTCAGGCCCTTGCACTTGCCAGGGAAGAGCTTATTCCACTGAGCCATCTCCCCGGCCCCAGATGCTGTTAATATTTCTTGCTTTCCTGAATTTATAACAGATATTTTCAAAGTATTCTTGGGTATACACCCAGCAATTCTACCATCCAGTGATAACTAAAATGAGAGTGTCTCCAGGCTTGGTTTACATTTACCCCGCCCAGAGTGCGGACCTCCATGTATAAGTCACTAACACCGAGCATTATGTGAAATACATAGATGAGTCTGCAGTTCTCTGTACTACCATTGAAGATCTAAAACAATTTTAAACCATTTTTCCCTTAAAAAGTCAAAAGCATTGTGCAGGCTAATGTTCAAGGCCACACAGTCGGAGTCTCCTAAACCTTTACTCCGGCTTCCCACTCTGCATTCTCCAGCCATGCCACCCTCCACGGCCTCTGCACAGGGACAGTGTGTTGTCTCAAACACCAAGTGGCTGTTTGTAAGTACAGCTGACTCAGATGACAGAAAAACAGTCTTATGGTATTTAAATATCAAGTGTTTGGGACCAGGAGCGTAGCTCAGTAGTAAAGCACATTCTTTTTTTTTTTTTTTCCGGGACCGGGGATTGAACTCAGACCCTTGTGCTTGCCAGGGAAGCACTTATTCCACTGAGCCATCTCCCCAGCCCCTAAAGCACATTCTTAATATGCACACATCCTGGGCTCAGTCCCAGCACCCAGGTGTGTGTCTATGTATGTTCATGCTTGCACATATATGTGTGTGTTTAAATAACTGAATGGTAGGGAATTAAAATCATTTAGTAATGGAAGGATTAAGCTTTTGGCTGGTCTAGGGCTGTCCTTTCACTTTGACAACCCATCTGCATAAAAGAAAGGCAAGAAGATGCTGCAGGAACTAGTGGTTTGTTTCTTACAACATAAATGTGGAGAGCGAAATAGGGAAATGCCTTGCTAGGAAGAACTAGCATAGCTAGAAATTAATCAGACTATATATCACAGATGTCTCATAAGGACATTTTAAGTGCTCAGGTCTCCCAGGGTTGTTTTCCTTTAATTTTATGTCGAACTACCTCTCTTATCTTAGAGTTTTTTATGTAGCTTAAGTTAACTAACATTACATTTTAGTAAGAGCTTATTTCTACAGATATTACTCCTAAATTGCCACTAGGTATCCTGCAGAGAGACCAGCTGCCTCACTGTAACCTAATGTAATGAGTCACCAGGAAGGGCAGAAACCGTGCCATGCTGCACCAGGCAGCTCACAGCCCCCAGCACCTGCATCTCTTGTTGAATGTACACAGCAAGCGCGAATGACGCAGCCCCATGATTTAGCTCAGATCTATCTGTCCTTTATAAATCTCACTCTCAGTCACTTGAAGAAGAACTATCACATTTATGAAGCCAGATAACATCTCTCCTCTCTGTTTTAGTTTGTAGTGATAACTGTGTGCTTGAAAGCTGGATTGGAGACATCGTACTGGACTTGGGTAAGAGTTCCTGTAGTCCCAACTGAGGATTGTCAGATGTGCTCCACTTTGGGGGGTTCTGTTTATTCAGACCTGATGTGTTTCTTTGTGCTAGTCCCCAGAGTAATTATAGGTCAGTGGGGGTGGAAGGAGGGACACCAGGGTTTGTAGTAGGGAAGCACTGAGTCAATCAAACATAAATTTATCATCACAAGACTCTTCAGAGCCTTTAATATATTATTTCACATTGAAAGTATCTCAGGAAGCGGGGAGACTTTTAAACCTTTATTTCAGGGAAGTGTCCAAGTCTGGCATTCTATAGAAAACCCATTAGAAAATGATTGTCAAAACTAGCAATATTAATGAAAGAGCTGTCCTCGCACATTTATAAATACCCAGTCTAGCTGAAACAAGTTCCATTCTCAACACATGAGTTTTATGGCATATCCATATCCAGGTAGAGAGACTCAGTAAGCAAAAAGAAATGAAAGCTCTTTGCTCCACGGGAAAAAGGCACAAGAAATGTGCTTTGACAGTCATTGGCCAACAGGTAATATTCTCAGAAAAGAATATTACTCCTTCAATAAGAACATGGGAAGCAAAAATAAGTGACTTAATGTACCAGATAAAAAAGATAAGAATAAATACAAGAAGAACTGCACCAAGGGAGATAGAAAGGAGCAGTTAGTTCTAAATTCCAGTACTGTAAACTCATAACCCTGGTGCAAGAGCTTAGCACTTAATGTAAGACCCAGTAAAACGATTACATGCATGCAATTATGTTGGATTTACTATGAATGTGATAAAAATTAATAGGGTGATCTGTGATGGTCTCCCCTTAGTATTTGTGTATTCTGCCTGCCTCAGAGGATTTTAACTTCTATTTCCTTGCTTTCCAGTTCAGCCACATAGCCATATGGGGCAGCATCGCCCTCTGGGTGGTGTTTTTTGGAATCTACTCATCTCTGTGGCCTGCTGTTCCAATGGCCCCTGATATGTCAGGAGAGGTAATGTGTCCTAAAACTTCATGGCATCGTAAAATCATGAAACTTGGTATTCATTAATGAACCTTCATTGTTTAGCAAGATTTTCAATTTTGTTGATTTATATTCAAATAGCATTTTATCATGTAAAAGCTATCTCTAAATTTTGCCTTTGGGAGTGATAAATCTTGAAAGAATATTTTAAACATGAACATTTAACTTGAATCTGACTTATTCTTTCATAAACATAGCTGGGACAATGAAATATGGTTGTCTGGAGCTTGAATAATGTTAGGAATATCCATGTAGAAGATGCTATTTTAAAATTAGACTGTAAATCCACAAGTACATTTTGGATAAGAGGGCTGAAGAAATGGTGGCTGTCCATCTTTGGGACAGTCTATCATTTCTTCTGTTATCTCCTATTCTGAAGAATAAGATTAAGTGCACACTCTGAGTTGTCTTAATGACATTGGTTCAGTTCTCATTTTGCAACAATTAGAGCATGTGACATTTCAGCCTTATCATAGTCCATTTTCAGTGCTGCCTTTCAGTTTCTGGTTACCCTGCTAGGAATTGAGTTATTAGGTGTCCGTGGGCGAGTGTCAGAGATCTCCTTTCCTTCAGAAGAGAGTCCAGCAGTAGGAGGGTTTATGATTTCAATTTCAGGAAATTTGACATAAAATGTATAAAAGAAAATGTGGAAAACATTTTGGGATTTCCTGTGACCTCACAGTAACTTGCAAGTGAAGGTAACATGAGCTGTGGTTGTTTTACCACAGTGACAGGAACCCTTCCCAGGGTCTCTGTGCCTTTCTTGCCCCACGTACTGCCTGGGTTCACTTTTGACAGTCTGCTTTATAGATCATTTTCATGAAATTTTATCTGACAGTATCCTGTTTTTTATAAATTAGCAGAATGCGGACACATTTTTTAAAATTTTTTGTGGTTACATTTAGTAGAAAGAGACATTATATACCATTTCAGCGAAAACAGGCACATCAAGGAGCATATATATACCTTCTCCCACCATATGCAAGGAAGGCATCCTTGGCAACATACTGCAGCCCTTAGAAAATTTACAACATCTATTTCCAGAAGAGCAGAGAGAAAGCTGTAAATGCATTTCCCTTTTGCCTTCATTTCTGAGTCCTTTCTTCTTGGAGGAAAATCACATATATGTGTGTCTTGGCGGGGTGTGTGTGTGTGTGTGTGTGTGTGTGTGTATACAATGATGGCACTTGGAGGAAAGGTCTGTTTCTGTCTAATCAAGGATGGGTCCAGCCTGATATCCATTTCGTTCGACATAAGTCTGCCTCACTTCATCTCATTTCTCAATGTTTATTTTATTTTCAAAATGAAAAGTGCAAAAGATTTTGAGACCCTGATAGTTCAAACAATTGTGGCCAACAGGTTTGTTGACAAGAGCTGAGTCTCTGACCACCTACTCCAGGACAAGTGCAAATTCCGATTGGCATTCTGCCAGCTAAGTATAATTCTGCCCTTGCCTGTGGAGTTTGCAGCACTCCCCAAGCACAGAACTTAGAGCATCTCTTGAGACTTGGCGGGGATGCTATGTTTAACTCAAAGTGAAGTGAATGTCGGGGCTCCATCATGCCTTTGTTCACTGCTAGACCGCGTGGAAGTGCCACCAGAATTGTGTTTCTTATTGTTTTATCGCTACTGCAATTTTAAACAAAAGGCTTAAGTAGTGAGTGTCTCACTGAAAATACAAAGCATAAAATAATTTAACTGTAGACTTTCCTCACTTGTACAAAATGTAAGTCTATTTAATTTACTCAAAAGGATAAGACTTGAGTTCTTGTAAACCATTTTGGGGTGTGTGTGTGTGTGTGTGTGTGTGTTCATTTGTGTAAATGAACCTCAACACCTCCAAAATAAGAATATAACAAAAATGCCAGTGAAATGTTCAAAGATAGGTCATATATGCTTATTGTTTCTTGGGTACTATGGTAATAGATACAAAAAAATGTAGTTATATTCAGTATTTAATATTTTTATTTTAGGTATAGAGTTTCCAGCTACAGTATAACCCAGATAATTTCAGGAAGAAATGACTACTATTTGTTCTGCATTTATCTAATCTTAAAATGCAGTATCTCAATCAAGAATATAGCCCAAAAAAAGAATATAGCCATATATATATATATATATATATATATATATATATATATATATATATATATATATATACATATATATACACACACACATATATATATATATATTCTATTTCATTTCAATCTGAATTTTTATATCTATATGTATGTAGGTAAAACTGTTGACTATCTTTTTGAAAACTTTTATTCATCTTACCTAATATATTGTTGCAATATATTATATACATATTTTCATATTCCAGATAAAAATATAGTATTGTAAATCACAGCAGCATAAGCATAAAGATTAGCATCTGACACCTTGACATGTTTTATATAATCCACACAATGAAGTGGCCCAGAGCAGCCCCCAGAATTGAGGTTATTCCAGAGAATCCCCAACGTGCTGTGTGGGCAGCTTTATGTCACTGCCACTGAAGAGATCACAAGTGTCTGATCCAAGGATCGTGCATGCTCCTCTGATTCCAGGCTCTTCCTGTGTTCATCTGAGAGTAATTTCTTCCAAAACTAAATAATTAACTAATTGTGTGCCTAAGTATGTTTTGGCTGCCTGCAAGCTTTAATAAGGACCTACAGGATGACACAGCATCAAAGTAGAGTAGACAGGTTAAAAATAGCCCTTTTCTTTGCTCTGCTGTTGGACAAGGTGTTTTGGAAAGTAGAGAACTATGTGGCTTTCAAGGGACATTGACTCAGTAGAGGAGTTGTTTAGAAAGACCACCAAGACCAAGGAAGAATCATAACACTGATAGTTTCTAGTGGATATTGGACCCTGAACAAGTACCCCTGGGACTTCGCTAAGTACTTTTTATATTCAACCAATTGAGCAACTCTCTATTGAGATTCTTCAGTGATTGAGACACTGTTCTAGGCACTGTGGACTCAGGACTCAGTGAAACAGACAAAACCCCTGCCTTCCTGCAGCTCACTTTTCCAATGGAAGAAAAGAAACTGAAAGGGAAATATACGGACAGGGATAAATGATTCACAGAAAAGTGCAGCGGGCCAGGTCGGTGAGAGCAGAAGTCTGAGCCGTGCTTTCTGCAGCTTTTACTCCAGTTTCCCAAAGGCTTTTACTCATAGGCACTGCCGAGGCACAAGAGAAGTGTCGTGGGCTGACTTGTTTTCACAGCAGGACTCTGACCTTGTGTGGTGAACCACTAACGAACCAGGTGAGAGGTGGCGCCTCCAGCCAGAAGGGCATAGGTGCCAAGGGGTCAGCTTCTGAATGTCTTGGAGGCCAAGCCAGTTGGATTTTCTGATAGATTGGATGAAAGGAGGGAGAAAAGAAGCCAGGGAGACTCCACTGTGTTTGCCAGGAACATCATGAGAACACACGAGTCCTTCTAGCAGATTCTCCATTGTAGTACCCAGTGTACAGGTGAGGAAGCCAAGGCCCAGGAAAGTTAAGTCCAGTCTCTCTGAACAGGAAGAGGCCAAGGTTTGACTTAGATGCCTGGTTCCAGAGAGGGTATGGCTACTTCTCTGACAGTGGTTATTCAGAAAAATTCATGGTATTTAACCTGGACGGTGAGGGTTTTGAGGATTGCAAGGAATCTGCTGTCTTTTCCTGCCAGTGCCGCCTTCCCAGCCTTTTTCCTGTCCATGGGTGTCCTAAAGTGTGCTCCATCTCCACTTTATGAGTGAGCATGGTCTGTCCATTTCTTTACTGATTCACTCAACATGTTGGAGTTGGGCTCCTCATGCCCCATAATGAGCACTAAGTGAATGTTGAATTAAAATTTTACTTGCTTCTCTGCTGTAGACACATAAATGAGAAGCAGTAGGCCAGAGGTGACAGAGACTCAGGTTTCTGCTAAGTACATCTTTCCCACCTGTAGTGATTTACAATCTAAATCTTTCCTACAGCAGAATAGGATGTTGGTCTCATTTAATCCTTCCTGTCCCAGTCGGTCAGTGACCAGTTCTCAGATACCAGCAATTCTTTGACAGCAATTTATCTGTTCCAAACAGTCAAGGCCACCTCCCGGTTCTTAAGACTGTGATTGTCCAGTAGATGTTTCTTTACTGTGTCCTCTTCTGAGGGATCTCCAAATCGCTGAAAGGGTGCAGACTATTAATGGGCTCTCGGGCTACAAATTACACAAATCCTTATGGGTATGGGTCTCATGCTTCCATATTCCACTTGGTACAAATTCACACATGAATTAGGATTTTATAGCCATTTCTAATTTGTATTCTTGGCTCATCTTTGCAGCCCCTATTTGAATACAGAACCAGTTCTTATAAAATGTTGGAAGGAAATACCCTTGTGCTGTGAGGAGATGAGGGGAACCGGCGTTGTTAGGCACCCACTGTGTCCTCCATATGGGATGCCAGGCGTGCCTTGTTTTAGTTAAATCCATAGTGTAAATCTTTATGGTAAATTGTCAGAAGTCAGTGACCCAGAGAATTCAACCCAGCACTTTTTTTTTTTTTTTTCAAATCAGATTGGTTTCCTCTCACATCCTGAGCAATTTGACACCTTCTCTTTGGGGCTCAGGCTGTTCCTCACTCCCAGGTGGGAACTCTTTTCCTCTTGCATCCATGTTCTTGCATTTTTTTTTTTCATTCTTGCAGTTTTCAACCTACTATTTCTCAGCTTGGCCTGGACCCTGATCAGTTTCCTCAAGTCAGCCAAATATAAAAATGCTCCTCTTCAAAAGTACAGATTTTTAATTACTCTTTCCAGCATCCACCTCAGTCCCATTTATGGAAATTCTACCTCACTTCATCCTAAACTTTTTCCTGTTCTTGACGGCAATGTTGGCACAAATAATGTCCATCTCATTAAAAATGAAAGAAAAAAAAACTGGGGAACAGAAGGCCCAGTCATCCTCCCTCATTAGAGGGTGTTTTGTCAGCACTCAGCTAAATCAGGGC